AATTGCAAAGTAAACTTTCTTGTTATGAACACAAAGACAAATAATTTCAACTTAATGTGATTAATATTATTGCTGATAACTACTGATATATGATATAGTTTCCAATATAATCTTAAAGTAACCACATCAACCCCTAACTGTACATGTACTTTATTCATATCTATACATTTCAAGTGAAATATAAATAAACTTATGTTTCAAATCCAACCTTCTGAATTAATTCAGTTTGAACACATATAGTGTCTTCTTGTGGATTACGACAGTAACTGGACCCTGCGGCTGGATAATTGAGGATTAGATTGTGGATTAGCAGTAATCTGTGGTGTATATCTAATTGTGAACATTGTAAGGAATAGCGATGGGTTCTAAAGGGAAATCATCAGTGAAGGGAGTGAAAAGTCTTGTATCTCAAGTCTCACCAATGACTGTTACTAATACACCATCAGCACCACCAGTCTTCTCATTCTATGTCACAGATTATAGCAAGGATGATGCTAAAAACCCAAAACAATCTCAGGTAAGTCCGGATATTTTGCTATCTGTTTCTATAACTGTATTTTTATATCTCTGATACTGAATTCAGAAGCCCTTCCATTAACCCCAATCATTGATTTATTCCCATATTGTCCCTCCTTATTTACCCCAAATTTAACTGAGGTAACCAAGAAGAAGGGAGGAAACCAATCCATTTGCCAATTGGCATTACCATAGATGGGTGTTTTGCAATAAACCTTGAAAAACAGAAAATTCTTAATTTATAGCGCATTTTATGCCCCTCATCAATAACGCAATAAGGTGCAGGCAAAAATGAATATAAGCTCTATTATATTTCATCAAGGTTTCACATAAGAAATACATGAAGTTCCTGACAGCTTGACATCGTGAAGATGCTGTAATCTGGACCAGTGATTTACATAAATGTTTATTGCCTCTAACTGCTTGAACTTGTGTTAATAGTGTACCATTATTAAGAGTTCAATAAACTGATATCTTACTCAAACAGATCTAAGATAACAATAGGGTACATTATTGATAAAGCATGCTTGAGATTTTGTTCTCAAACTTATCATTGTGCATTGTGAAATTAGGATTGTTTAGAAATTTACCATCACCCAGTGATGCACGATTGCTTTCTCGATCAGTGACACACGAATGCGTCTAGTTTCTCTCTGTCAGTGATGAAGGATTGTTTCTCTCTGTCAGTGATGCAAGATTGCATCAGTCTAGTTGCTCTGGATAATGTGATGAAGGATTGCTTTCAACCCAGTCTCTCTCTGTCAGAGATGAAGGATTGCTTTCTACCTAGTTTCTCTCTGTCAGAGATAAAGGATTGCTTTCTACCTAGTTTCTCTCTGTCAGAGATGAAGGATGCTTTCAACCTAGTTTCTCTCTGTCAGAGATGAAGGATTGCTTTCTACCTAGTTTCTCTCTGTCAGAGATAAAGGATTGCTTTCTACCTAGTTTCTCTCTGTCAGAGATAAAGGATTGCTTTCTACCTAGTTTCTCTCTGTCAGAGATGAAGGATGCTTTCAACCTAGTTTCTCTCTTTCAGAGATGAAGGATGCTTTCAACCTAGTTTCTCTCTTTCAGAGATGAAGGATGCTTTCAACCTAGTTTCTCTCTGTCAGAGATGAAGGATTGCTTTCTACCTAGTTTCTCTCTGTCAGAGATGAAGGATGTTTTCAACCTAGTTTCTCTCTGTCAGAGATGAAGGATGCTTTCAACCTAGTTTCTCTCTTTCAGAGATGAAGGATTGCTTTCTACCTAGTTTCTCTCTGTCAGAGATGAAGGATGCTTTCAACCTAGTTTCTCTCTTTCAGAGATGAAGGATTGCTTTCTACCTAGTTTCTCTCTGTCAGAAATGAAGGATGTTTTCAACTTGGTCTCTCTTTGTCAGAGATGAAGGATGCTTTCAACCTAGTTTCTCTCGGTCTGTGATGAAGGATGCTTTCAACCTACCCAGTCTCTCTCTGTCAGTGATGAAGGATACTTTCAACCCAGTCTCTCTCTGTCAGTGATGAAGAATTTCTTTCAACCTAGTTTCTCTCCGTCAGTGATGAAGGATACTTTCAACCCAGTCTCTCTCTGTCAGTGATGAAGGATACTTTCAACCCAGTTTCTCTCTGTCAGTGATGAAGGATACTTTCAACCCAGTCTCTCTCTGTCAGTGATGAAGAATTTCTTTCAACCTAGTTTCTCTCCGTCAGTGATGAAGGATACTTTCAACCCAGTCTCTCTCTGTCAGTGATGAAGAATTTCTTTCAACCTAGTTTCTCTCCGTCAGTGATGAAGGATACTTTCAACCCAGTCTCTCTCTGTCAGTGATGAAGGATACTTTCAACCCAGTCTCTCTCTGTCAGTGATGAAGGATACTTTCAACCCAGTCTCTCTCTGTCAGTGAAGAATTTCTTTCAACCTAGTCTCTCTCTGTCACTGATAAAGGATTGCTTTCAACTCAGTCTCTCTCTGTCAGTGATGAAGGATGCTTTCAACTTAGTTTCTCTCCGTCACTGATAAAGAATTTCTTTCAACCTAGTTTCTCTCTGTCACTGATAAAGGATTGCTTTCAACCCAGTCTCTCTCTGTCACTGATAAAGGATTGCTTTCAACCCAGTCTCTCTCTGTCAGTGATGAAGGATGCTTTCAACCTAGTTTCTCTCTGTCAGTGATGAAGAATTTCTTGAAAAATATCATGTTTATTTTGCCTACATAATCTGGTGTCATTATGCAGTCTCTTCTTAAATAATCTTTTGCTCCAAAATTCTTTAACATTTTGACTGCATTTTCAGCATGTTTACAGAATAAATTACATGAACCATGTTGAAAAAAACTGAAATTTGAATAAATTCTTAAAAATACACAATAAGTTCATCTTTAAAAACCTTGAAAGTAGAGCTACATGTGTATTAAGAGGTAAAGCATACTGAAGAGCTCTATAAATATACTTTTCTACTAATGATAATGCAATGCAAGGCTATTTGTAAACATCAGAAAACCTAAGACTATTTACTTATCATTATTATCATGAAGTTGATGATGATAGGACAAAACTTGTGCATATGATAACAGACATAATGTAGTTTAGCAATAAACAAATTTTAAAAAAGCTGTAGGTTTTCATTACTATATTCAGCATTATCTTAGTCTAAAATTGAAGGCTGGGGAAATTATGTCAGGAAAGCAGCATAAAATCTATCGTAAAAACATACAGTTAATTATACACATTTGGGTTTAAGTTCTTCATGAAGTAGAGTTATTTCCCTTCAACAAGAAGATGTGATATGTTATTTGTAAGACTGAATTCTAAATCACCTTGAATAAAGATAAGAGATGAAATTTAATGAAACCAAAACAAGATTTCTTTTGTTTACAGAAGATACAGTTACCTTGTCATGTACTTTGAGTGTTTGAGTAATTTTTTTTTTAAATGATTTGTAAGACAAGTAAGAATTTTAAAATACCTAATGCTAGTGGTGCAGACTGAATGACACGTTTCAAGGGAAGGGGGTTGAAATTAAATGTTTAGTACATCATTTGGAGGTCCACTATTTACTGCCCAAACTATTTCGTTTGAATCAACGTAGATTTTGTTTTGTATTGCATCAAAATAAAGTTCACAAACGCACACCCAACACAGCCATACTAGGCTATGTGCTTAAGCAGCTGCTTTGCAGACTTCGTGTCTGATGACACATGTTCATTGCTATGAGACAAAGAATGCACAAATATGAAAATGATTTAAAGCAATTCTTAAAAAGTTGAAGGCCTATGGTTAAATTGTCTACTATTATTTCATGTCTGAAATATATTGTAATAATATTAGTAATTTAATAAAAGGAAAGAGAAAAAATTGTCAAGATCTTTTCAAAGTTAAGAAAAGTTCAGTGTACATTAAAGATATATTTTAACTGGTACTGCCAATAAGCAGATATTATTAATCAACCTAGCAGCAGACTTGTTATATAGGTGTGTTAATCAAATCTACTGTCTAATTACATTACATATTGGCAAGAACTTAAATCATACTAATTACTGGTATATATACTCGCTAAACAACAAGAAAATGGACTTTCCTTTCTCAGAAATGTGTGAAGGTAAAATTCATGTTAAGTATCATTAAATAGCTTAATCAATTCTAAATTTAATGATGTAAAATATGAATTGTTTCGATTAAGTGGGATTGGAGAAATCAAGGTGGTGATTTAATGCAATGAAACAACATTACCTTTGAAAGTTTGTGATATGGATTCAATATGGTTGATACCCGAATAACGTCTATACAACTAGACATTTCAACTATCAAAGAGAAACGAGGTTTTAGATTCTGAAATGCTCACTGAGCCACAGTACCTACGTCTAAATTATAACTATTTACTAAGAGAAAGAATGAGGCAGAAATGAATAAGGATGATTTTGCCCCTGAGGTTATTACTTGTATATTATAACCGTAATCAGATAAATAATATATATATATATATCATCATTGTCTAAACAGATTAGTCTTTCTCTTAAGGCCATCTATTAGTCTTCGTCATTGTCATCACAGACTGAAACTTAGATACCCTTGATCAATTTGATAAAATCATAGACTCTTTAAAAGACGTAGGTGTGGTGGAAGACATGGAGGCTGACTCTCAACCAGTTTCTACACCAAACAGACATCAGTTACCATTAATCGCAGATGTAAGACCTACGCCGAAACGCAAAAGAACTCCATCACCTTCTGGCCTTAGTACCTCGCAAGAACCACTATCCATAAGCAAGAAACCTCATACTGATAGACGTACTTTACCATTACCAACTTTTACTGCGACTCCATCCACACCAATGACGATGCCAAGATCGAACCCTGAAACACCGAAACCTCAATGTACCAATACTCGCCGCCGCTTAAGTTTAACCACCTCGGACTCATCTCCAGCCTGTAAACCACAACGTCATAATAATGAGAAGGATAAATCCAAATGGTCTATTCCCACACTCACCAAACCAACAGGTATCATTGGATCTTTCATCATCAGCAACATCCCGTTCCTACATCCAGATACCCAAGCCGAATCTTAACCTGGTGCCCGAATTCAACATATCAATACCTTACTCTCCAAGATCTCTCCAACAACCATTCCGAAAAAGGTGTTATTTCATGTTGGCCTAAATAATAAACAGGAATCAGGAGAATCCATACACAGAAGAATGCTGGAACTCCTCAAACTTGCCAAGTCGAAATTTCCTTCTGCTACCCTCTACGCCACACAGATTCCTTACTCAAGAGCTACAATTAGCTGAACCTTATTTAGTCAATAATCTCCAGAAGTTCAACAGTCTATTATATCATAAACCGTCTACCAATGCCCATACTATTCTTCGCTTCAATGGAGTGGTCAGTGTCATTTCGGATAACATCCACTGGATGTCCCCCACTGCAAAGAGTATTTATTTTTCATGGGTCTCCCATTTAAACTGAACTCGGGGGGGGAATGCTCTAAAAGTAGGAGAAACTGTGGTTAACTTCAGTTCGCGAAAACTTTCTCCCCTTGAAGAAAGAGTTTTAGTTAGAGGTCTAACACTTATTCCGACATCTAAAACTCTTTCCCATGAACCAATTTTATCGTCGGTTGAACAAGTCAATAGGACTTTTAAGTTAAATTTCTTTTTTCGGAATAGACTCGGCAGAGGCAAGCGAATACCGTTCATTGAAAAGTCTGTTTGGACTCCACCAGACAGCGCGATTGACTCAGATATTTTGGCTACTTGCGATAAATGAAGAAAATATCTTGGTGAAAAAAACAACCTCACCAAGTTTGAAAGGAAAGCTTTGAATAGCCTAAAAAACGATCAGAACATTATAATACGAAAGAGTGACAAAGGCAGTTGCTGTGTCATTCAGAATCGCGAAGACTACATTTTTGAATTAGAGAAACCATTGAACAATGCTAATCATTACCGTGTACTTGATCAACCAATTTCCATGGAAAGTGCGCAAAAGATAAACAATATTTTAAAAACTTTAGTAAACAAACAATTTATTTCTGATTCCCAATATGACTATCTTTCAGCGAAACCCGAAGTCCGTCAACGTCACATTTATACTTTACCGAAGATTCACAAAAACCCGGAAACTGAATGGTTTCTAGTCAATAGGATTCCTAAAGGCAGGCGTATTATCTCAGATTGCGCGAGCGAATTACCGTGTTTCTGAATACATTGACCATTTTTTACTTCCATTAGCGTGTAAGCATCCGTCATATCTTAAGGATACCACTGATTTTGTTGAAAAAATTAAAAGCTTGAATGTTCCTCCAAACGCAAGATTTATCTCATTAGATGTTACGAGTATGTATACCAATATTGATAATAAAACCGGTTTAGATGCTGTCCGAAAAGCCTTTCTTCGAAATCCCTGCGTAGATAGACCCGACAAAGAAATATTAGAACTTTTGGAATTATGTCTAACGCGAAATGACTTTGTTCTCTCTAACAAACAAATTAGACATCAAAGTATTTTTTAAATCAACGGATACTCACAAACTTTTATATAAATACTCTTTTCACCCAAAACATACTTTAACGGAATAATCAAATCACAAATTGTGCGTTTTTTTAGAATTTGCACTGAAAAAGTAGATTAGTTTTCAGTAAATTAAGAGAGAGGGGCTATTCCAAACGATTCTTGCGCAAAATTAAAAATGACACTGTTTTGGACCTTTTGAAAATTAATGAACCCCCTCCTCCAATAAATAACTTTGGCGCAATACCATGTAGAGGTTCTCGGTGTCGCACCTGTGAACATATTCATATGTCTCATTATTTTCAAAATAAAAAAAACGCAAAAATATTTGAAATTAAAGAACGTCTCGCGTGTACGGATAAAAATATCATTTACCTAATTTCGTGTAAAAAATGTGACAAACAATACGTCGGGAACCCAGAACGCGTTGCGAACTCGATTTAGCGGCCATCGCTTTGATATAATTCATAGCAAAAATAGACCAATTTCTCATCATTTTAATTTACCTGACCAAACGATTACTGAGAGAAAACTACTGGATGGACCAACTCCAAACAGTGGCTCCAAATGGACTTAACATCCAGCATGATAATCAAATGATTCCTTTAATCATACAGCTGCCAAAACCTCATCCATCGTCAGTATTACAGTGAATTACAGAACAGATTTCCGAATGTATATACCAAACGACTTGTAATTGCCTATAAGCGCAATAAAAACCTTAGTAATTTTCTGGTCCATGGTAGACTCGATCCCATTGAATCCAATTATACTTGACCCCCCCCCCCCCCCCCTCTCTATTTTCTAGCTCATTAAGTATAATATATTCTAATCCTTATATATAGATGTTTATCTTTTCAGAACCTATTCATGCTCTTTTCTTTTAGAACTGGTAACAAGAAAACTTTCATATCATAGATTTTTGTTTATTTAGATTACTCATGGTTGTTTTTTTAACTTAATACTAACTATGCTAACCTCACCTTATCTTGTATTGAACATTTATCTCTTTATTTGTGACCTTGGCCAGTGCTTTACATAGAAGTTTTTAGGAACTTCTTCACTCTTAACACAAATGGTGTAGACATCTTTAAGACTAGACTATAATTTTTATTATTATGCGATGAAGATCTATAAACTATAACTATAGTTACATACATGATATTTTGCATGAATAGTACTGTGGGTTAGATGGGTAGAATGATCAGATCTCAATCCAATTGTTTCTTTAACTTACTATCTAGGACCACAAAAGGTATGGTTATGGTAAAATAATCGATTAAGCATAATATATTACATACGATTAACTTTCATTTTATACACCCACACAAATAGTTTGGGTCGGCCTGTTCGTTCACATTTGGCTCCTGTTCACCCTAAGGGCTACAATTCTTTATAAACTAGTGTCCAAAAGAAACGATACCAACTTATTTTGAAAATTGTTTTTTACTAAGTGAATTGTCTAATATGAAAACATGCCAATTCGTATTGCACATCCCAAACACAGCATAGTCGATAAAAATACCGGGAACATGTGATCACTTCCGGGAAAAAACGTAAATTTCATGAAAGTGACATTTCCCTGTCTAGCATGTTCTGCACGTGCATAAAAACTGTATAAAACGGCTGATCAGACACGTTGATATCACAGCAACAAAAAGAACACAAGATATGCCACGTTTGACAGCCATCGAGAGAGAGAGAGCCGTTGGAATGGTCCAACAAGGAGCGACACACGTCGACGTCGCCAGAAGGTTGGGCTGCGCACGCATCACTATCACCAGGTTGATGCAGCGGTTACGTCAGACAGGTCAGACGTCAGACAGGCCCAGGAGTGGAAGACCACGAGTAACCACGCCCCGTGAAGATCGGTACATCCGGGTATTACACCTGAGGATTGTTTAGTTTTTCTTTTATGTCGTTGCAAACAGGTGGTATCGTTTCTTTTGGACACTAGTTTAGATTCTTTTGATTTTTAAACGCCCACATTATAATGTGGACTTATATTGTCGTCACCCATGTCCACAATCGCGATAGAGACTACAGTTTCCATCTGATTCGAATGATTCGGTGTGTTCATTTATATTGATAAGATCTTGGACAAGTTCGATATTTACAATTTTTCGATGAACGGTTTTTGAGTTCTTGCCCTTGACTTAGCCAAAACGCGTCAAAATTGGCTTGTGAACGCGATAGAGACTACACTGTTCATCTGATTTGAATGAAATTTGGTGTGAACATATATATTCATGAGATCTTGAACAAGTTTGAATTTGACGATCTTTTGATGAACGTTTTTTTTGTGTTATTGCCATTGACTTCAGATCTTAGTCAAGATTAAATTTGACAATTTTTCGATCAACGGAATTTTTGTTATTGCCCATGACTTAGTAAAAACGCATCAAAATTTGTTAGCGTTAGAGGTGTGACAGTTTATGTCAGAATTTTATTAAATAATGTGTGTTTGTTTAAATCAACAATATCTTGCACAAATTAAATTTTTGGTATGATTTGACACACATAGGTGACTGCCCTTGATATACTGAAAATGTATCAGGAAAGTGGGCGTATCTTGCTAGGCAACCACTTGTTATTTTATAGGTTAATGTCAATATGAAGATGATCCCTTAGATTTTCATGAGGATCTGATAATTTTTCATCGAAATATCTAAATATTAAAGTCTGACTTAGTGTTTTCACTCTATTAGCTATATTGTGCAACTCCTGCTTACTTTACAGGCAAGAATTCTTCTCAGATTTAGTTAAAAAAAAAAAAGAATTAACATTTCGATAACAAACTGGGACTTTGCGGTACAAATTCGTGATTTTTTTTCAAATTTGAGTTTTGTTTTACCATATTTGTGTCTTTTTGATCTTGGTGTATGTATATCTTATGATCTATTTTATGTACCTTGATATTTGGAATACAACTAGACACTTTGAATATGTATTCACCTATGACAAAAAAATTGGGGTGGGCGTGGCACATCCGGGTTGAATCACTAATTGTTTACATTTTGGGGCTGGGGCATAACTCGCATAGGATATGTTTGTTAAAAAAGGGACTTTGCACACAATTACCTCATCCTTTTGGCCAGTTTGTGTTAACAGCTCAGTTTTTTCAGCTTTATAGTTCCAAAAAAGGAACAGGTTTTAACATTTGGATATTTTCATTTTTCGATTTTGACCTTTGTTGACATTTGTTGACCTATATCTTTTGACCTGAATAATGTAGAAGCTTGAAATTTAAAACACAACATAACATTTGAAATATCAATTACCCTATGCAAAAAAAATTAAGGTGGGCATGGCACATCTGGGTTATATTACTCATTATTGACATTTTTGGCCAGGAGCATAACTCACAAAGTATACGTTTGTTCAAAATGGAACTTTGCATGCAATTATCTCATGTTTTGAGCCACTTTGTCTTAGAAGTTCGGTTGTTTCCGCTTCATAGTTCAAAAAAAGGAACAGGTTTTGGAAATTCAAAATTTTGACGATGTTGTTCAGGTAGTCTTGAATGATTGGGGTGGAGTGAGGCCTTACATCTTGC